CCCCCTTAAATCCACACGGAACCCATTTCTCTCACTAATGTCTGGACTTAAGTTCCTCCGCTCTGCTCCGGAAATAATTTGAGTTCAAAAACTTTTTATCTAATTTTACACCCCCTTAAATCCACACGGAACCCATTTCTCTCACTAATGTCTGGACTTAAGTTCCTCCGCTCTGCTCCGGAAATTAATAGATGATTCTTTATTAATAGATTTAAGAAAATAGCATTTGTTTATTTAGAATTAAAGTTTGTACGTATGCATTAAGTTCACTAATCTGAGTAACACAAAGATGATTAATACCGATAATAAAGCTATAGATTATTAACGTTAACCACATTGCAATAGCTTAAAAATCCTGAAAAACGTGCAAGAACATTATTAATACCTAGTGATAGCTTAAAGTGGGTTATATAATGGTTGTTGGTTACACGACACCGGAGTTTATATACTCCGATTAGTATATACTATATATTTGAAATTATTTACGTATATTATTATCTGATATCTGATATTATTATTATACACAACCTTTAATTTACTATATTGGGCGAATACACAGCAAAACCCATGCTTAGAGTATATATAATCTATATGCTCTAAGATGGTTTTGCTGTGTACTCACCCATATAGTTTCACTAATAGCTATATGGGAAACCACCTAGCTTTAATGTTGACATTAATATGCATATGTTATCAAAATTGGATAAATTAATTTGTGTAAAAACTTGTTTGGGGTAACACAAAGAAAACCTTTGAGTTGAACTTCGCTTTAATCCGTAATATCATTTATTAATTTAAAGGATATATTTTATAACTAAAATTCTATGATGCATGTTTTTACTTTAATATGATATATCTTTCCGGTTGTTTATCATTGTTATTACTGTATTATTGCGCAAAGATCTTACGTCGTACGATTTTCTATGTGGATGTCGCAAAGCGGACATAATAGGAGATGCAATATTAATTACGTATATATATATAAGCATTTTATTTTTATATCACATGGTCTTGGCGTCTTGGCATTCTACGTATGTACGTACGTACGTATTACGTATTAATAGTTACGTATTAGTGATTATTGTTATGCGTTTAGCATTTATTGGCATGATAATATCAAGGTAATTTATTTTTAATACGTACGTACGTATATATTATTAATATATTTATTTTACTTTATTAGTAACTTACCGTTCCAAAAGGCTGGCTTCTGACAGTAAAAAATCGTATGACACTTTACAAAATTGCCCCCTTTTTATTATATCGATCGTATCATATGATAATGTTTTAAAATTTAATTGTTATTCAACATACTTTACCTTAGAAGCTTAGAAGTGATTCTGTCACCATAAGGATGTGTAACACCAAGTTATACCATTAACGTAAATTTGTTGTTTTTTTTAAACGAAATACCGACAGTTACCGACAGTTTGATCACCAGTATCACGTGACAGAGTGATGCTAATTTTGTAATTGGTTGAATAAAATGATCACTCGCATGATATCTCTATGCATTATCTAGTAGGTGATTGGATAGTTTTTGATTAGTAATTAAATTGCATCAAGTTGGATCATGTTTTTTTAAGGTTTCGAACAATTTATGAAAAAATTTATCAACATTATTAACCGGTTTTAAAGTTGATTTTAGCCAATCAAGATTCTTACTGATTATACTTACTGATTAGCCAGTTAAATAGAAATCATTTTTATGAATCTAGCTATTTTCGTTTTTAAATAGAAATAATACAGTGCTCGTCTACATATATTCTACATATCGATACATATCGATATTATTTGTTAAATTGGACAGCTCCGGACGATCTGTCATCGGTTTTTATGTCAACAAGTTTATCTTCCCCATAATAATAATGGATTTAAGTACGTACATATCAAAAATTTCTTAATAAGTAAATTCACAATGACCAATAATTTTATTTTGGTGGCTCAGTAAAATAAAGAGATGATGTAAAGATGAAGTGGCTATGTAATCCAACTATGTATTTATATTTATATGTAGGTACATCATTAAAAAATGATTAAATTCTTAACGAAGAAATCATCGACTAAATGGAATTATCTAGTTAAAAATAGTTTTAAAATAATGCAATGCGTTATGTACAGATATGTACGACAATACAAAGGATTGTTGGGGAAGTTACAATAAAAGATGAATATAATGACCGGAATCGTCAGTTTCTATCTGATAAGCCCTATTTGGAACTGAGTCACACAGACTATGGCTGAATACGGATCTGATAAAATGAGTTACCAATCGTAATTTACGTCCTAAATCTGATAACTTATGTATGTTCTTATTAGGTATATTATTTTAAATACGAATTTATTTATATTGTGCAAAACTTGTATAAATATGATGTAAAAAGACTGTTTATGATCTCATTTGCATTTTTTAATCCAGTTAAACGTACATAATTTCTTCATCCATAATCCTTAATTTTCCCACTCTTAAAAATAGTTGAACTTTCGTAAAAAAAAAAACAAATAAATAAAACAAATAAAAACAAAAAAATGGAAAAACCATCTTTATTTCGTCGTGTAAGTTCTCGAATATCGGATATTATCCAATCTACAATTTATCCTACCTCTACATTATCAAATCCGAACCAACCTCCAATCGGGGAACATCAACCTTCTCAAGAACTTGATGCTTATAAAACTTTTGGAAAGCAGTTGCAGACAATTCCTCCTTCCAATGAAATTATTTCACTAGCTGATTTGGAAGATGATCCCTGCGCTAGTTGTGCAGATCCATGCTTTGATCATAAAAGCTACCCTCCGTACTTAAAGATAGATTATAAATCTACTCTGGAAGGAACTGTAAAACCATATATAAAACATGTTTTAATATCAACTGGAAAATCTGATTGGAATTCTCATATTGAGGATGAGTGTGGAAGTTTGGCTGCTAATTTAAATAAAGTCATCAAATGTGATTCTGAAAAAAAAAATTCTCAAAAAGAAAAAAAGAAAGATTCTCCAAGGAAAGAAAAGAGAAATAAAGTTGAAGCTGGTTATGTTAACGCAAATGGTGAAATAGAAAAACCAAGAATAGTCATTACTAATAGTGATCGACTAAATTCTGATAATGATCCTTCGTTTACTAAAGGAAATGACATTCTTTTATTTCCTGATAATATCCTTATTCGAAATGTGCCTCCGAAATATGCTTCAGATTTTTATAAAAAGTTTTTATTGTCAACCCTGGATGAAAAAGATCTATACACTTCTTTCAATTTTACGGTCGAACCAATGCCATACAAAGCTGTTATTGTTATATGTTCTCATAAACGTCGTGATAAAAGGTGTGGAATCACTGGTCCAATACTAAAAGATGAATTTAACAAAGTATTAAAGGAAAAAGGATTAGATTTGGAAAATAATAATAACGGTGTCGCTGTACTTCTTAGCAGTCATACTGGAGGTAATTAATTATCTATTATTAATTAATTAATTAATTTACTTATTTATTTAGAGATCATCAAATGTAACCTTTATTATTATTATCATTATTTGAAATTAGGACACAGATTTGCCGGTAATGTTATAGTTTACCGTGGTGGTCAAGGTATATGGTATGGACGAGTAATTCCATGCCATGCAAAAAATATAGTTGAGACTACGGTCTTGGATGGGAAAGTTATCCAAGATCTATATCGTGGATCGATGAATGGGAGTTTCGCTCCTGGAAAAGGTGGAAGATTGGATTGGTAAATGGAGGACCATTTTTACACGTACAAACTTTTTTTTTATTACTAGTCAAAATTTTTAATATAGAATTCTTAATATAATGTCATGATTTGTAAAGCTTCATTAAAAACAATTGTAATGTTTAAACACTCATTCATATATGAACAAAAGTTTGTTATTTGTGTTAAATTGTTCTTTTAACGCATCTGTCAACTATTCGCCTATTCACCTATTCACCAACTATCATTTAACGTTCAATATTATTTAACAAACTTAGCTATATTGTATTGCTTTGAATTGATAACTTGGATTTTAGACGATTGTTTAGTATTATAGTCTTGAAAAAGCGCCGTGCGTAAAATTTAGGATAGAAACTTCTAACCCAAATACAAACTTAGTTTATCTCATAACTTGTCACAGTTTTTTTGATTTTCCCATCCGATTGCGAATGCAAATCGATGATAGGATGTTTTTTTTTTTTTTATCATGCTAAGGTCTTTATTTCTCAAAATTTTAAATTTCGTAATGATGAAAGTTCATCGAATTTGAAAATTATGCTAAAACTTTAATGTAAACAACTTATTCTATTTCAGGTAAGTCCTTTAAATTCTGAATATAAATTTTAACTGATGCATAAAAATCGAACAAGTCTTCGATTTTTTTTTTTTAACAAAACACTACTCGATGCGTTCAAATCTTAAAGCGTAGCTTTCACCAGTTTAATACAAAAAAAAAAGAATACATGATCATCTAATAAGTTAACCATTGGTCGATTCTATTGATTAATCGGATTTTATTATACTGAATATACAAGCCGATCGAGCCGTTTTGCATCACTACTTTTAGTATCAAAAAGAATTCAAAAAAGTAAAACATATATATTTTGTTATGCGCTTATAATTGTTCGTAGAGTTGGAATTGACAAATTAGAAAGACATAAAAATTGCGTGAATTGGACATTTGTACATATTGGGAATGGACTAGGAAAACTGCCGTTTGGCACTTATTTTCAAATGGTGATTTTTCTACTCACACACATTAATTATCTGGGTGCTTTCCCGACACCTTAATTATTATTGGTGTAACGTGTTTCAGATTTTCCATATGCTTTGCTATTGCCAAGAATAAATTAAATATACGGAATTAGCAAAATAAATCATTTTAACCGCTAATACAAATACACAAATTTTTTCCTCATTTCTTAAGAGATTAGCGGACACAAAAATCGATCATGGCATGGCGGCCACATGGAACATATCATATAACTGTGTTATTGTCACAAACTAGATTTTTAATTTTTAAATTTTTAAATTTTTAAATTTTTTTAAAAATAAACGTAAATTACGATTTTACAATTACATACTAATTTTTTGTGTAAGTTTCAGGAAATTAATTTCATCAGGTTATACATAAAGTACCAGATTTAAAAAAGTTGAATGTACGAGATCCGAATTGTAACTTCTAAATCGCCACGAAACTTACACAAATTACATAAAATTCAGTAATTTATCGGAAATTCCGATTGACCAATTTGCGTGGAACATCCCGTGATATAGTAAAAAATTTTATTGGTTAATTATAGTAAAAATTTTATTGGTTAATCGAAGTTCTAAACTTTAAATTGTCACGAATAAAAAAACCGATATGTATAAAAAATAACTATACGTATATATAACGAAATTAATATCAGCAAAAGTCTTTATCATGAAATCTCGATACCTTTAAATCTAAAACCATAATCTTGTCGTGGACAAAATTCCGACAAACCAAAATTTTATTAAAGAAATATTTCTAACATACTACAAATCAAAAAAAAAAACAACGAAAACGAAAATACATGAACATATTCTAGAACACTAATGGCTAATAAAAAATAATTAAAAATTACTTTTAGTGTTCGCTCTGTTTATGGTATAGTTCAAGCATCGTGTGAATTTTACGTATTTGCGTGTGGCTTCAGAAGATATACATTTTAATGTGTATTATGGTTATTGCATAAGTTACTATATATTTGTATTGTGGTTATTGCATAAGTTACTATATATTTGTATTGTGGTTATTGTATAAGTTACTGTATATGTAAATTTTTGATTCTTTGGTTTATTCGATAATAGCAGTTATAGAAAAAAAACAATATATATGGTATCGTTTAATATGGATGCAACTTCTCTCTTTGCATATTAAATGTTGTCACAGCTGGAATTCGTACTATACTATGAAGTTTAATTCTGTTTACTTTATCACTTGTATTTCAAGAGAATGTATGATTAACCATAATCATCTAATCGTTCAATAAATTACCAGTGTGAGTAAGAGAATGTATGATTCACCATAATCATTTAAGAGAATGTATGAATAACCGTAATCATTAATCCTATCGAGAAAACCTTTCATTTATGATATCATAACTTCACAATTGAGCACTCAAGAGAGAAAACCTGTAAGTAAAAATTTATCTTCTAAAGAATTTTTGATATCGGTATTTCGTATATACAATCAGCATTCTGGTTAAATACCAGATAATATCTGGGCTGATCGCGTATGTGGTTAATTACGTAATATCACAATTTTTCAGAGATAAGATTTTACTTATCGTTTCAGGTTTTCCTTCTCGAGCACTCAATTCTTTGATGATTTAAAACTCTGAAGATCAAGTGAAAAAATATTGAGTTTCTGTACAAAGAAAAAATATATAAAAAAGTATAAAAGATAATTGCTTAGTGATATATATACAAGATGTATAAAGCCAACTTAGTACATATTTTAAGAACTTCGGTAAAGTAATAAGGTAGCAGTGAACCTCTGGTTAATTTCTAACTATATATTGTTAATAATCATGTTTTATCTGATTAAATAAAAATGCTATAAGTTTATCGTTATTTCAAAGTTATGACAAAAACTAATTTGCATCGCATATCGCATATGATCGTACTGTCATCACATATTGCGCAGCTATCTTAATTTAATAATCGTTATACGTTACAGTACCACTACTTATAATTTTAGAAAATTTTTAAAATATCTAAGAACCTGACAATTCAAGATCTTATAGATTTTGTTCTAACTAGTATATAACCTGTAGAATTTAAAATTATAGTTGCTTAATATAGTTGCTTAATATATTGTAATTCAGAGATTTTAATCTTCGCAAGATTAAATATTACTAAATCACCTATTTAGTAGCAATATTATGTGCCATTTTTTAATTAATATTAATCATGAATCGATGTTATTTTTAAATTTTTATTGTTAAAGAATAAGTTTTGCTAACTTTTACTAGGAAAAAGGTCACCGGGTGCTATATCTCGAAAACGTACTAGCTAATATATCTCGAAAACGTACTAGCTAATATACCTCAAAAATATCAAGTAAAATGTTTAGACCCCTTCAAAACCTTATGCTAATTAAATTTGAGGTTCTAATATTTAACATTTTAAAATTATTTAACTATTGGTTTATAATATTTATATAAATACTTTTGATCAGGCTATTGATTGTTCAATTTACTATACATTTGTTTGCAAATTTTTAGTTCAAAAAGATTGACAATTAGCCAAATTAAAGCCTTTTATGTTTTTTTATAAAATTGTTAAAATAAATATTATTTAAATGGCCTCACTTTTGAAGATTAAAAAAAAAAAAATTATTTAAATTATTAAAAGAAGCAAAATAAGGGGTTTTTTTGTATTTTTTTTAAAAATAAAGGTTAAAAATCAGCCAATCTAAAGCTTCAAGTTCTAAATGTTTAAAAAATATTTTTTAAAATTTTCTTACTGTCTTTTGCAATTTTAATAAAACCTTGTTATGTTCTGTTTAGGCTATATTATTAAAATCTTGCTGAAAAGAAATAATTTAAAATTTTGAAAACTCTTTCTAATAATTTTTGATCAATATAACAAAAAACTAAACTACAGAAAATGTTATAGAAATATTCAAAACAGATCTATTTTCAGTTCTACTTTGAAGTAAACAGTTGCTGATAAAGCCTGAAAATATGAAATACTAAAAAGCAAATATATTATAATATTATCAAATTTTATTAATCAATTTGTTAGTTAAATTTATGTATATATTTTATTAGTCAATTTTTATTAGTTGAATTTTATTAGTTATTTTTATTATATATTTATTATATTTTATCTTAAATTTTATCATATATTTTATATTAATATTATAGTTTATAATATATTTTATTTATTTTAGTCATTTAAATAATAGTTTATTATTAACTTTATTAGAATAATTTTCACAGAATTCTATTTAAAGTAATAATTATTTAATTATTAGTTCATTTAATGTAAACAGAATCTGAACCAAAATATACAAACATAAATGGTATATCAGAACAGTTCAGAATAATATAACAACAAAATTAATAATAAACAAATTAAACAAATTTAGAATAGCAAAAGGTAAACATCCTATAATAAAAGGTGTTTGTTATATAAGAAAAGTTGCTTTTGCTATAGTATAAAATGTCTAATCTCTAATTTTAATCATTCTAAAATGCTTATTTACTATCTGAAAGTGCTTATCCAATATCTAAAGGTGTCTATTTTATAGTAAAAAATGCTCTTTCATTAATAAAAAATGCTTTTTCTTAATTAATTACTATGTTCTATAGTAATTTAAATATACTAAAAAAGATATTTAAATACTGCCACTTTTTCCAAAACAAGAGGATAGTTGATTCTCATATTTTAGTCACTATAGTTTTATAATTATATTTTAGTTTTAGGAATAGGTTTTATTTTTATTTTTGTTATAAATTTGTATTAGAAATAAGTTCTATTTACTATATTTTTTGAGTCCTATTTTTTATACCCCCAAATTTATTATTCATACCCCTCTGCAGATTTACCTTTTTTTTAAACTTTGAACGAAGATATCTCAGTAATTACCAAGCCAAATTTGATAAGCTTTTTTTGAATTCTATAGATTCATAGAATTCAAATAAAAAAAAGTTCATCAAATTTGGCCCAGTAGTTACTGAGATATCTT